CTCAAAAAAAAAAAAAAAAAAAAAAGGAAGAGCAGAGGCCTAACTAGCAATATAGGTACCAGGCACACTACACTGGATACCCCATCCCTAAAGGCAAACACTGCTAACATACTAGCATGTTTCCTTGTTCTTCCTGAGCATTTGTTTTTAAACATATTGAAATTATACCAATTTTTTTATTGAAAATTATTTCTGTAGGTATTTAGTAGACTACCATTATTTACCAAAGCTTTTCCTTTTTGTTGAACATTTAGTTTATTGGTAAAAAGCAGTGGCTCAGCCTGTAATCACAGCACTTTCGGAGGCTGAGGTGAGAGGATTGCCTGAGCCCAGGGGGTTCCAGACCAGCCTGGGCAACTTCGTGAGACCTAGTCTATACAAAAAAAATCACAGAAATTAGCCGGGTGTGGTGTGCATATGTATTAGCTATTTGGAAGGCTAAGGCAGAAGGATCGCCTAAACCCAGCAGGTTGAGGCTGCGGTGGCCGTGAGCATGCCACTGCACTCCAGCCTGGGCGAGAGGAGATGCCAGTTCAAAAAAAAAAAAGTAGTTTTTGAGACACACCCTCTGGTTTGAATCTCACTTACTGGCTATGCAATCTTGGGAAAATTACCTATTCCTTGTGTCTTGTCATTAAAATAGGGACTATACCTCAGAGTTGTATTAAAGGAGATGCTGCCAGGCACAGTGGCTCACGCCTGTAATACCAGGCAGAGGGGAGAGGATCGCCTGAGTCCAGGGGCTTGAGACCAGCCAGGTCAACTTGACGAGACCTCATCTCTACAATAAAATCAAAAACTTAGTTGGGCGTGGGCACGCCTGTCACTTCCAGCTATTTGGAAGACTAAGGTGGAAAGATTGCCTGAAACCAACAGGTTAAGGTGGCGGTGACCATGATGGTCCCACTCTAGCCTGGGCAACACTGACTCAAAAAAAAGAAAAAAAGGGAGATGCTATAGCCTAAATGTGTCACACACCCCCCCCCCCATTTTCATGTGTTGAAATACTAACATGGGTTTCAGGATGTGGGAGCTTTTGGCAAGCAATGAGGTCATATAGCTCAGTCCCCATGGGATTAGCAACCCTATAAAATAGGCCCAAGGAAGTTCATTTGCCCCATCCAAGTGAGGACACAGGGAGAAAGTACCATCTATGAATTAGGAAACCACTCAAGAGACTTGAAATCTACAAGCTCCTCGATCCTGGACTTTCCAGTCTCCAGAACTGAGAAATGTCTATTATGAAAGTCATCAAGCCTACTGTACAACAGCCCAAAGAGAATAAGACCCAAACCTAAGCATATAACCTCTATGATCCAATATCATACCCGATGGTATCTATAGTATCATCATCTTTTCCCAAGAACACATACTGAGCTTTTGGCCAGGCGTGGTGGCTCACGCCTGTAACCAAAACACTTTAGGAGCCTGAGGCAGGACTGCTAAAGCCCAGAAGTTCCAGACCAACCTGGGCAACATAGCAAGACCCCAGCTCTACCAAAAAAAAATCAAAAAACTAGATGTGGTGGCATGCGCCTGTATTCCCAGCTACTGGGGAGGTTGGGCATCACCCGAGCTCAGGAAGTGGAGGCTGTGGTGAGCAGAGACGGTGCCACTGCACTCGAGACTTGGCAACAGACACTAAAAAATAAACCCAGTTTACTTCACTCCTCTGTTCACCCCCCAAGTGGGTGCTCATCTACAATACATAACTATAGCCTACAGGGTTCATAGATTCTGGCCAACTTTGTTTCAGCCACAACTTTGCTATTTTTAGAAAACTCCGTCTAAGAACTCTTCCACAGTAAGCTCTGCTTAGTAAGTTCTTAACCCAAATGCTTTCTTCCCTGACTACACCCAGCCCACATACATCCCCTGCCTTGTTCTTCTTGCATATTGCATACCGCTGCTCTATCAGCATGTAAATTCAACTGAGAACTTTTTGTTCAATACAATTCCCAGTGGTCAGTATAACAAGAGCTCAAAAACTTTAAGATTGTTACTCAGTCCTTCCTAAACTTGGATCACCTAGAGGACCTTGCTCAAATGTAGACTAATTCAGCATGCACGGGGTAGAGTCAGACTCACTGGCAATAAATCGACTTCTAGGTGGTGACATTGGGGCAAGGACAAGCACTGGGATTTTCACAAGAGCCTACTTTTATCTATCTTGTTGGTCACCTGTACCATCAGTATGTTAAAGCAACACTACACCTGAGTCCTTCAATAAATGCTTCAGGGCCACGGTTTTAATTCTCCACATATAATATATATATCTAAAAACACTGATACATATGTAGTCCCTGCTCCCTTCCACATATCACAAGGCTTTCAAGCTTTTACCTGGGAAATATTCCCTGTATGACACCTGGGCAACCTCCTCTGCCCAGAGCAGGTTTTAGCGGTTAGCCTTCCTTTCCAAAATTTTTTCAACATTTTTTTTTTTTACTAGTCTACCTCATTGTTCAAGTCAACTGCTCATGAAACTGTTCGTTTCAGTATATATACTGAATGTTTCAATATACAGTAGGCACTTTATCATGAAACACATTTTCCAAGGTACAAAAATAAAACTGGCATTTACCAGAGTTTAGCACGAACATTTTTATGTAACTCAGGGAAAATAAATCACATATTCTGCAGACAAATCCATTAAGACAATAAGAGATAAATTTTAAATGCAATTTCTATACCAAATCAACTATTCTAGCTACATTAAAACACTCATAAACTGATATTTTTTAAAGAATTTTTTATTTTATGTACAAGGAGCTAGCATGCTTCCACTGTGTAGATGGCTTGGATAATCCATTCAAGAAGATCACTCAATCCAACTGAAAAAAAAAAAGATGTGTTATTTTAAAAATGCTTAAAATCTCAACTTGATTCTCACAAAAACTGACGTAATACAGAACATTTCTGCTAGAAATCTCACCCCCTAACTACACCAAAATCTAAATAGTTTATTTGCTGAAGGCCAAGCACAAGTCGCTCGATAAACCTCAACTGTACTTTAGACTCATTTATATATTCCCACTTCTTCCCTAAAGTTTCCTAAAACAAAACACTACTATATAAAATGATCTTTACCAAATGCTAACGATGGTAATTAAGTGGGTCACTATATAATTAGTTAACTTCGAGAAACTAAGAATATCGAGTTAGTGGGTGGGCCAAAGCGTATTCTTACAACAGTTAAGTGAGCTTCCTCATAATACCATTAACTCATTCAGGACTGCTGCGCAAATTTACATCACTCCAAATTCGGTTCCCGATTGCCACTGGCATGAATCTACCTCATTGTGGAAGATTTCTTGTCTTTCCAGGTTTATAATCCAAATAAAAACAAAAAGTACAGAATGCTAGTCAGAGTGGTATCTGATGCAAATACCGGATATGCCTGCAACTTTCAGCAGTATTGTGAAAAAAGCAACAATTTAGAAAATACCATTTCACTTGTGCTTAAAGACAAATCTGTGGCAATTAGCTTCAGCCTCAGATTTTTTTTTTAATTTTCACCCGCTCTCAGTCTTAGGAAAGTGAAAATTGTGCTGATCGCGAATGTATTAAGTCTGAGCTTAAAGATACTTTTGTCTCTGGCACATCTCATTACAATTTACACAGCGAGGCATGGTAGTGCGTGCATGTAGTCCCAGCTACTATTAGGGAGGCTAAGGTAAAAAAGACTGCCTGAGTCCAGGCGGTTGAGACTGTAGAGAGTTGTGAGTGTGCCACTGCACTCCTGCCTGGGCAAGAGACTCCAACTGGGGGAAAAAAAAAACAACACTGACACACTACCACAAAAAATATATATTTTGGCCGGGCTCAGTGGCTCAGCCTGTAATCCCAGTGCTTTGGGAGGCGGAGGTGAGCGGACTGCCTGAGCCCACGGGTTCGAGACCCGCCTGGGCAACTTGGTGAGACCTCATCTCTACAATAAATCAAAAAATGAGCCAGGCGTGGGAGCGCGCGCCTGTAGTTCCAGCTACTTGGAAGGCTGAGGCGGAAGGATCACCGGAGCCCAGCAGGTCGAGGCTGTGGTGGCCAGGAGCGGCCACTGCACTCCAGTCTGAGTGACAGAGTGAGACTCCAACTCAAAAATAAGTAGGTTCTATTCAATATCCTGTACAAAATAATTAGGTATCAGAAAACTAGTTATTTTATCTCAAAGAGCCAATAATAAATAAGTTTTCACATTTAAAGAAAAAGAGTGCAGAGCACGGTGACTCACGCCTGTCATCCCAGCACTTTGGGAGGCGAAGGTCAGAGGATTGCCTGAGCCCAAGGGTTCGAGACCAGCACAGGCAAATTGGTGAGACCTTATCGCTACAATAAATCAAAAAATCAGGTGGGTGTGGCGGGGCACATCTGTAGTTCTAGCTACTTGGAAGGCTGGGGAGACCGGGAGCGTGCCACTGCACTCCAGCCTGGATGACAAAGTATGACCCCCACTCAAAAAAATAAAAGAAAAACGAGTATTTAAGTTATTTTTAGGAGCCAAAAAAACCTTAATGTATTCACTTGAAAGGTCACACAACTATTAAATGGCAGACCTATGTAGGCTAAACCCTAGCAATATCTACCCAGCCCCAAACCTGAAGCTCATTCCAGTCTACGGCTGCTGCCAAACACTTCTGATCAGTGGTTAATACACACGGCGGTACCCAAATAACTACACACTTTAAGCGATGTCTTATCTATGATTACTCTTCGAATTACGGTAGCAACACGTAAAACATGTACCATGACGTTCGCTCAACCGTGCTCCTACCATCTTGACTGTCCTGCCTGTCGCTTGGTGACGCTCGCAGTCACTTGGTTCACGTCATCTTCCCAGCGAACGTGTATACATGTCTCGGCGCCCCGTCTATTTAGTTCGGAAGCTGAGGGGGTGTTGGAGGAGACCATCTCTAAGTCCTTTACCTTCCCTATTCGGTTCCTATAACTGCCCAGACCATGAACAGTGTCACGCGCTGCCAACGAATACGAGGAAAGGTCTCGGTCGACGGCTCAGGACCGTGCCCACAGGGAAGACCGGCTGTCCTCCGCCGAAAACACAAGATCAGGCAGAGTCCCATCCCCACCCTGCCCGCCCACCGCAAGAGCCCGGAGCCCGCGGCCGCCTACCTTAATGAAGCCTATGTCCTTCGCGTACTGGCGGAAACACTGGCGGCACATATTCAGGCCGTATTTCCGGATCAGACCGTGCCGGTTTGAGCAGACGCGGCTGTTTAAATTAAAAAAAAAAAGATGAGTTTTACAAGTCTCCGAAACGACACGCGTCCTCCCTCGGCGGACCACGAGCCGCAGCCCCCGTCTTCCCGAGCGCGTTCCAGGCCCGTCATGGCGGCCCCCTCAGCTTCGATTCGGTCTCGCCCCCACGCGCCGCCCGTGACTTCTCTCCTTGAGAAGCTAAGCAACCCCGCGCAGCAGCACAACCCTACCCAAAGCCGCAGTCTACTCCTCACCAAGAGCGAGAACCCTGGCCGAATTTCCGCGGGTGGCTCCAGTAGAGCTGCTGGTGGCCCATCTTGCTCTCAGGAGCGCAACGAGGCGAAAGGAAGGAACTTCCCCGCGCGTGCGCTCTTCAGATTTCGTGGGGCGGGGGAAGGAACGGGGACACGGAGTACCCAGAATGCAGCGCTAAAAAAGTGGCGCGTGCGCAGTGCGGAACGTGGCCTCACGAAGCGACGACCGATGATGTAGGCTGGCGCCGTTGATGACGTCAGCCCACCTCAACTTCTAGTATGATTTTGCGCCGCCTGGAGAGCGCCGGGCGCGGTGGCGCGTGCCTGTAGTCCCAGCTACCGGGGAGGCTGAGGTTGGAGGATCGCTTGAGTCCAGGAGTTCTGGGCTGCTGTGCGCTATGCCGATCGGGTGTCCGCACTAAGTTCGGCATCAATATGGTGACCTCCCGGGAGCGGGGGACCACCAGGTTGCCTAAGGAGGGGTGAACCGGCCCAGGTCGGAAACGGAGCAGGTCAAAACTCCCGTGCTGATCAGTAGTGGGATCGCGCCTGTGAATAGCCACTGTACTCCAGCCTGGGCAACATAGCGAGACCCTGTCTCTTTTGAACAAGAAGGAGGTGACAAACTGTATGGACTGAGTATTTTACGTTCATTTTCATTCAACTTTTACACACTTGGAAACGGATGTTGCCGCGTCTCACACTGCCCCCTACTGGAACAAAGTTATAAAAACAACTTAAATCAGCTGCAATAATCACAAGTCAACGGTAGGAGGGTGCTTCTACTTCGTTAAACACAATACGTTTTCGATTTTTTTTTTAAATTGACACACTCCTCCAAGACATACACCTACACCATTTCAGAAAAATAAATGATAAGAGGTTCTTTGGCCCCTAGTGTATGATACTTAAGTGTAACCGATAGAAATGAAATGACTCACAAGTAATGTGCAGTGTTTCTGTTGCTTTGACAAAAAAGTAAATGTCAAATCTCTGCTGAAAGAGGTCTAAATGCCACACCGTCATTTATAATGCCTTTAGACAAACCTCCGAAATCGAAGATTAGCTAGATTTATACAATGAAACACAGGGTGCAACAATTCAAGACATGTTTACACCATAAACTCTGACATTAGAACTGAAATACAAGATTTCTTTTGAAGATTATTCCAGGGGTCCGGAAGGGCCCCCTACCCAACCATTAAGCTCGGCACTGTAGTATGACGAAGAAGGCGGGGAGGCAGAGATTTAGATATGACTCCCTCCTCGCTCTCAAAATTTTCTAATCCACTGTAGAAAATAGGATTCTGGGAGTCCTTCCTCCCGGTTTCCACGTTTGTGCCACAACAATGTGTACACCACGAAGTAAGGAGCATACTCTGTATTCAGTGACGAACGTGAACATGAAAGGAGCAAAGAGGGGATCGATTCATTTCAGCTGGAGGTACCTCTGGGGGACCTTTGATGCAGAGCTTGAAGAATGAGATTCTCACGGGCAGCACTTGACGGAAGACTGGGTGGTCTCTGAGAGGAAGAGCTTGAGCGAAAGATTGGACCTGGAACAGGCTCGGGGATGGTGAACAACCTTGTAACTGGACTGGAAGATACACAAAAGGCCTCGTGATACCTAAGAATGAAAGGGTATATTTTATTTTAAAGCCTGATCGGGCAGAATCTAATGCCAACATCTCCAGCTTTCCTGCAATTTAGGTCAGTCACTGACGTGTGTTTTCCAAAATGCATCTGCCTCTCAGAAGCGAATCTATCATTCGTCTACTTTCTCGGGGCTTTCCTAGTGGGTCTCCATAATATTTAAAAGATTGCCATGGTTCTAAGATAATTCTATAAATATTTCGAATACTCTGATATATAATTATGTTAGCCTAAAAAGGTGGACTCATTTAAAAGAGAGGGAGGAAAAAAAAGACAAGGCCAAGCTCGGTGACTCAGCCTGTAATCCCTGCGTTTTGGGAGGCCGAGGTGAGTTGATTGCCTGAGCCTGCGGGTTCAAGACCCGCCTGAGCAACTTGGTTCGATCTCATCTCTACAATAAATTAAAAAATATATATATATATATATAGCTGGGCGTGGTAGCGCGCGCCTGTAGTTCCAGTTACTTGAGAGGCTGACTCCAGTTGGGGAGACAGAGTGAGGCTCCAAAAAAGAGACAAACAAGAAGCAACTAGCTGCACTTGAACAGTCTTAAAGCATCTTGATATTTAAACAATTTTTAAAATATTTAAGTAATTTGTAATGTTTATTCTGGTACATAGATTATTCTCCTTGATAGAGATTTTGGGGGGTGTGGGTGTGGGTGTAGGTGTGTGTTTGGGTTTTTTTGGTTTTGTTACAGAGTCTTGCTCTGTCATCCAGGTTCTAGTGCACAATCATGGCTTACTGCAGCCTCCACCTCCTGAACTCAAGTGATCCTCCTGCCTCAGATTCCCAAGTTACTGGAACTACAGATGCATGCTACCACTCCCGGCTATGGTTTTTCTTTCTTTCTTTTTCTTTTTCTTTCTTTCTTTTTTTTTTGGTAGCAATGAAGTTTTGCCAAAGTTGTTCAGCTTGGTCTCAAGTGATCCTCCTGCCTCCCAAAGTGCTGGAATTACAGGTGTGAGCTACCACAACCAACCAATAGCCTAGTTTGAGACGTCGTACTTCTTTTTTGTCTTAAGATAAAGTGACACCACCTATCCCATCTCATAGATGAATCCATTTCTTTTTCAGTAAGAAAGCTGAAAACACAACTTTAAAAGTTAATTTTAATTTGTGTTTATGAAGAGCTTTCAGCTTAATCTTGTGGTCTTCTTACAGTTTCCTAGTTTTCTTTTGTATGTGGTTTTGATATGTTTCTGTTTTTAGAACACGTTTTCCAGCCCTGCTCAGTGGCTCAGCCTATAATCCCAGCTCTTTGGGAGACCAAGGCCAGCGGATTGCCTGAGCCCACTGGTTCGAGATCAGCCTGGGGAATTTGGTAAGACCTCCTTTCTACAATAAATCAAAAATTAGCTGGACATGTGTGTTCCTGTAGTTTCAGTTACTTGAAGGCAAAGGCAGACAGCAGAGACAGAAGGATAGCCAGAGCCCAGCAGGTCCACACTGGGGTGGCCTTGAGTGTGCCATTGCACTCCAGCCTGGGCAACAGAGTGAGACTCCGATTCAAAAAAAATACAAAGAAAAAGAAAAAATGTGACATAATCTCTTTGCCCAAATAATCCCTATGGATATTTTCCTTTTGAAAAAATAAAAGTAGCCAGGCTCAGTGACTCAGCCTGTAATCCTGCGCCTTGGGAGGCTGAGGTGAGTGGATTGCCTGAGCCCACAGGTTCGAGACCCGCCTGGGCAACTTGGTGAGACCTCATCTCTACAATAAATCAAAAAATGAGCCAGGTGTGGTAGCGCATGCCTGTAATTCCAGCTACTTGGAAGGCTGAGGCCGAAGGATCGCCGGAGCCCAGCAGGTCGAGGCTGCGGTGGCCGGGAGCAGCCACTGCACTCCAGTCTGGGCGACAGAGTGAGACTCCAACTCAAAAAAAAAGAAAAAAGAAAAGTAATTTTTATAAGACTGAAGCATGGGCAATTTCCTCGGGTCCCCTCCTACTATGGGAGCTTTTCTGTCCTCTCAATAAATCCTGCTTTCAAAAAAAAAAAAGACAGTACAGAGTATAGATTTTTTCCCCCAGAGCTAGTCTGTCATGAAATAGATCTTATTTTTGAATTGGAATACATTGGAATAATCTGTATGTCAAGACGTGAATATAATAATAACTGAAAATAATAATAATAGCGGAACCAGGGTGGCTCACATCTGTGATCCCAGCCCCTTTGTGAGACTCAGGCAGGAGGACTGCTTGAGCTTGGTTCAAGACCAGCCTGGGCAACATAGAGTGATCTTGTCTCAACAAAAATTAAAACAATTTTTAAAATTATCCAGCATCTGGGGTGCACTTGTAGTTCCAGCTACTCAGGAGGCTGAGATGGGATGATTGCTTGAGCCCAGGTGTTTCAAGATATGGTGAGTCATGATCATGCCACTGCACTTCAGCCTGGGTGACAGGGTGAGACTCCAACTCAAAAAAATAATAATGATAATAGTTGAATAATAATTTAAGATCTTTCATTTTCTTTCTCAAATGATTGTTACAGTCATCTGTGATCTTTGATGTGCATTCAGAATTTAACCATTTAAAACACATGCCGATCTCTTGAATTACTTTCCACTTCAGGACTTTAGAAATAGAATCATACTTATTCTCTAAACTTTAAAAAATCTATTATACCATAGACAAACTCTAAGATACATGTTTTGCATGTTTGGCTATTACAATAATACGTACACTTTAGTACATCTACCAATTCCTTTTCTATTTTTATTTTTATTTTTCAGTCCGAGTCTCACTCTGTTGCCCAGGCTGGAGTGCAGTGGTACGCTCACAGTCACCGCAGCCTTGACCTGCTGGGCTCAGGTGATGCTTCCCCTTCAGTAGCTGGAACTACAAGCATGTGCCACCACATCCAGTTAATTTTTTTACTTATTGTGGAGACGTGGTCTCGCCATGTTGCTCAGGCTGATCTCGAACTCCTGAGCTCAGGCAACCCTCTCGCCACTGTCTCCAAAAGTGCTGGGATTACAGGCATGAGCCACCACACCCAGCCTTAATTCCTCTTCTAAATTTAAAAAAAAATTTGTTTTAATTTTTGTAGAGACAAGGTCTCAGTGTTGCCTAAGATGGTCTCAAACTCCTGGGCTCAAGCAATCCTCTCACCTCCACCTCCCAAACTGTGAGATTACAGGCTTGAGCTACCATCCCGGCAACTGTAAGTATTTTAAATAAAACATACATACATAAAACGTTTTTCTTTTTGAGTTGGAGTCTCACTCCATCACCCAGGCTGGAGTGCAGTAGCACACTCACGGCCACCCTAGCGTCAACCTGCTGGGCTCCGTTGATCCTTCCGCCTCAGCCCTCCATGTAGTTGGAACTACAGGCATGCGCCACCATACCCAGCTAATTTTTTCATTTATTGTAGAAGAGACGTCTCACCAAGGTGCCCAGGCTGGTCTCGAACCCGTGGGCTCAGGCGATCCACATGTCTTGGTCTCCCAAAGTGCTGGGATTACAGGCTGAGCCACCGAGCCCAGCATAAAACATATTTTTTAAAGTAAGCCTTTTAGTAGGCCGGGCTTGGTGGCTCAGCCTGTAATCCCAGTGCTTTGGGAGGCCAAGGTGAGTGGATTGCTTGAACCCGCGGGTTCGAGACCCGCCTGGGCAACTTGGCGAGACCTCATCTCTACAATAAAAAAATAAATAAATAAATTTGAAAAATCAGCCGGGGTTGGTAGCGCGTGCCTGTAGTTCCAACTACTTGAAAAGCTGAGGCAGAAGGATCGCCGGAGCCCAGCAGTTCGAGGCTGCAGTGGACGGGAGCGGCCACTGCACTCCAATCTGGGCAACAGAGTGAGACTCCAACTCAAAAAAATTAAAAATAAAAAAATAAAGTAAGCTTTTTAGAGGGTGAGTGGAGCCAGGTCAGCAGTAGAGGGCACCTGGCATGTTGGAAGCCTGCGGAGCAAGCAGCTTGACCCTTGGCTGGAGCCGGCCTGTGGATGGGGAGTTTTCGTCGGTGACTCAGGCTTCGACTCTCCCAGTGTGGCCACCAAGTTGGGGCTGTGATCCATCGCCTTCTCCTAAAGATGCATTCTTAGCCGGGCTCAGTGGCTCAGCTTGTAATCCTGCGCCTTTGGGAGGCTGAGGTGAGTGGATTGCCTGAGCCCGCGGGTTCGAGACCCGCCTGGGCAGCGAGACCTCATCTCTACAATAAAAAAAAAAACGCCAGCCGGGCGTGGTAGCGCATGCCTATAATTCCGGCTACTCGGAAGGCTGAGGCGGAAGGATCGCTGGAGCCCAGCAGGTCGAGGTTGCGGTGGCCGGAAGCGGCCACTGCACTCCAGTCTGGGCGACCGAGTGAGACTCCAACTCAAAAAAAAAAAAAAAAAAAAAAAAAGATGCATTCTTACTTATCGTCACACTTGCACACCGAAGAATGCAATGTCGAGATTAACTTGCTTAAGGAATGTCACAAAAATCACAACACTGTGAAAAATTTGGGTCATCCCAATGATCTGGATCAGGAGATGAGAAAATGCTCAATTTGGAAGGCCAAGGCGAGAGGATTTCCCGAGTTCACGGGTTTGAGTCCAGCCTCAGCAACATGGCGAGATCTCTTCTCTACAATAAATTAAAAAATTTGCTGGGCGTGATGGTGTGTGCCTGTGGTTCCAGCTACTTGGAAGGCTGAGGTGGAAGGATCACCTGAGCCCAGCAGGTTAAGGCTGCATGACCATGAGCGTGCCACTGCACTCTAGCCTGGGCGACAGAGTGAGACTCCTACTCAAAAAAGAAAAGAAAAGAAAATGCTTTAAGAATGAGTATATGGAAAAGTGGACCAGGAGCAGGGAGCATGGTACTGTGATGCAAAAGAGCCTTTTTAACACCCCAGTGGAATCTGAAAAATAAATTATATTTTCACTTGCTGCCTCGGCTGAGAGAAGACCCAAAGACTCCTATCTTATTTGGTCTCCAGAATCCTTCAAATGAAATGTGACCTGTGAGAAACTGAACCATGGAGAAACAGGAAAATCCTGGATTCTGAACATTTGTTGGCAGAGCCTTTAGTATCATCTCCCTTCTACCAACAAACCCAATTTCACCATGTTTCTTCCCTTTGTTTACAGCCAGTTAACATTTGGGAAACATCTATATCAATAAAAAATTTTTTTAAGTGAGTCTTGCCAGGTTTGGTGGCTCATGCCCATTAATTCCAGCACTTTGGTAGATCGAGGATTACCTGGGCCCAGGGGTTTTAGACCAGCATCTTTTCGAGACTTCATCTCTACAATAAATAAAAAAAAAAATAGCTGGGTGTGGTAGTGTAGCCTATAGTTCCAGCTACTTGGAAGGCTGAGGCAGAAAGATTGCCTAGCCCCGGAGGTAGAGACTGTGGCGGCTGTGAGTCTGCCACTGCACTCCAGTCTGGGCGACAGACTGAGATTCCAACCCCCCTCCAAAAAAAAGTAAGTCTTCTCTAATCCTATGCCCTATTTCCCTAGTTGCCCCATCCAGACCAATAAATTATCAGTTGTTGGAGGAATGCTAAAAAATTCTATCTATAGGCTGACTTGGTAGTTTAGTCTGTAATCCCATCAGACTGTAAGTCCAGGATTTCTGAAGCCCAGAAGTTCGAGACCAGCCTAGGAAACATAGGGACCTTTGTCTACCAAAAAAAAAAAAAAATCAAAAAAAGTAGGTAGGGGTGATGACACGCACCTGTAGTCCCAGCTACTCTGGAGGCTGAGGCTGAAGGATTGCCTGAGCCCAGGAGATGGAGGTTGTGATGACCTGTGATCGTGCCACTGCATGTCAGCCTGGGCGACAGAGTGAGACCTCAATTCACAAAAATAACTACATGAATAAAAATGATAACTGGTTTATTTTAAGATTTTCCTAGCTTCCAACTCTATCTAGAAATTCAGATTACCTTTAACGTACCTCTAAGGCTTTAGACTGTTGTTCTGTTATCTTCTATATTATTAACCACTTAAAGAGCAAAAGTAGGTAACTCATGATGTTTAATCGTCTCTCAAAATTGTAGGGTTCTGTTTTCTCTCTAGTCACGAGATTAACTTCTGCGAAATCCTGCGTCGCATTTTAATGCTGTACTAGATGTCTATGCAAGACTCCTACATGGAGGGATGTCATTTTTATCATCTTAATCACTATAACGTTTTTAGGAATGAGGGATCGGCAGATAACCCATTAGGGTCAATATGTTGTCAACAGGGACGCTAATTTAAGAAGTATGATTTTGTCCCAGTTGCACTGAAAATCAGGATTTCGGAACGCCATGGTACAATGTGGAAAGCACAATTCCGACGAAATACAATGTCTGGCTAGGCTAGGACCAGGACAAGGCGCCCGTGTTCAGGCGTCCACTCTGAACTCGCGCCCCAGACGCCTCCATCGCCCGGCAGGCCCCGCTCTGGCTCAGTCCAGGGAACTGGGAGTCCGAAGACCACCCGGGGTCTGGGTGGCCTTTTCGAGTCTCAGATACCCTTGAGGCTGTCCCTCCATCCAGCCACACACCTTGGGGACGAAGTGGCTCCACGGGACTCCGCACGGCCGTGACAGGTGTCAACGGGGGGAGGGGGTGCGGGGGAGGCCACCACAAACAACACACCCTCGCTGACTTAGGAGGCGACTCCTGCGATGCCCAGCGTCCTTCCCTATCCCACGGGGACCCGGCGAGTGCTGGAAACACACGGTCCCCGGGCGGAGGAATCCGCCCATTCAATAACAACACCCACGGCGCCGCCGCCGCGGTGGGGGGGGGAGCATGTGGCGCCCGCGCCGATCGCCGGTTCCGGGGCCGCGCGGCCTGGCCTCGGGCGGTCGGCGTCCGCGTTCTGGAGGTCGACGGGTACAGCGGGGACCCGGCTGTGCTCTGGGAGAAGGGACCGCGGGACTGGCAGGGACCGAGTGCTGAAAAGGCCGGGACGTCGAGGCGCCGGCAGACAGGCGGATCCGCGGGCAGCCCGCGCGCTCGAGGACCCCGGCGGCGGCGCCCGGCGGCGGGAACCAGGCAGTTTCAAAGCCCCTCGGCCCGGCGGCCGCGGTCGGAGCGATGAGGCTGCACTGCGAGGTGGAGGTGGTCCACCGGCGCCTGCCCGCCTTGGGGCTGAGGAACCGGGGCAAGGGCGTGCGGGCCGTGCTGAGCCTCTGTCGGGCGACGCCCGCGGGCCTGCCGCGGGCCG